CCGGCGGGGCTCCCCATCTGCTCCGGGAGGAGGGGGGGACCGCGCTTCTGCCGCCCCCCGCCCCCCAGCCCCGCGGCCAGCCGGGCTGTTGGCGCTGCCAGCCCTGCCGGGCCGGGGGTGGGCAGGGGGCTGGCACCCGGCCACCACCGCGGCGTCAGGGCAGCACAGCCCCGGCCCGAGGCTGCGGAGAAAGCCCGGCCCCAGCCCTGCCACCCTGGGAGGGCATGACCTGGCCGACAGACAACCCTGACCTACTTCTCATTCAAGTGGCTTCTGGGTGGCTGCCAGGGCGAGTGTCCTGCGGCCGCAGCGCCTGGCCCAGCCCTGGAGGGAGGGCTTGAGGGTGTTTTGGGAGCTGCCGGAGCTGGGCAGCCCCCATCTGAAATCCCTTCGTGTTCCCCTGCTCTAGTTCGATGACTTCTCCCGGGATCTGTGTGTCCAGTCGCTGCTGGAGATCATGGACATGTTCTGTGACCGCCTCAGGTATGATGTGACTGTTCCAGTGCTGCCACCTCGATCCTGGCTGTGCCATGGGCAGCATTGGGAGCTGGTGGGGGCTGGCTGATCCCGGGATCCTCACCCTGGCAGTTAAGGGCAAATTCCCCCTCCAGCTCCCATTCCCAAGTTGCCGCCAGCAAGGGGAGAGCGGAGGGAATCCAACCCCCACCAGCTTCATAGGAAGCTGCAGGAAGCCCCTGCCCCTACTCTGGGATAAACCTTGCTGTGGTATTCCTGCCCCGCTCAGGTAGGTGGGGTGGGTGTAAGCCCCGTGGCCCGAGGGTCTCTGTCCCCTTGGAGTGTTTGCTTTCCCTCTGCAGCTTTCCAGGCCCTGTCTGCATGGCCCTGTCTGGTCCTGCCTGCGCTGCCCCAGGCGCTGCCTTGTTTTGCTTCATGCTCTTCCGCTGGTGTTGCAGGACCCAGGGGAGTCCAGACAATTCAGGCCACAAAAACTTTTTTAGAAAGCTCAGAAATCTTCCTGTTAACCCCTGACAGCCTCTTCTGGGAGGCCAGAGGGACAGAGGGAGGAGGAAGGCTGAAGGTAGCAGCCCTTCAATGAAATGAAATGAAGCAGCAGCAATGAATATGCATCAGTGACAGATGTTGACAAGGAGCTGTCGCTGGCCAACTGCAGAGCCGGCCCTTAATCCGCTCCTGCCTGCTCTGATCCTCTGCTTAATTTGATCAAAACTTCTGGCCCCGATGATTTGTGCATCAGGAGGGGAAAGCGTTCACCTCTCGCAGAGCACTGATCGATGCTGAGCCTCTCTTAGCAAGATAATTTGATTAGAAGCTTGGAAAGTTTCCCTGTAGTGGAGTTGGCCAGCGAGGAGGCTGCGCCGGGTGGATGGGGGGGTGGGTCCTTCCCCCCAGCACGGCGGGAATGCTGGTGGGATGAGCAGGTTGGGATCTACAGCAAAGGAGCTGGGTGGGAGTGGAGGACCTGAATTTGGGTTCCCCAGCCTACCCCGTGTCTGTGCCTCAGTTTCCCAGCACACAGTGAGCACATTCCCATTTTCCTCCCCTTCCAGCTGCCACGGGAAGGCTGAGGAGTGCATCAGCCTGTGCCGGGCGCTGCTGAGTGCCCTCACCTGGCTCCTGCGCTGCGCCGCCTTCTACGCCGAGAAGGTGAAGGAGCCCCTGGAGCAGGCGGCGGCCGAGAACCAGCTGAAGATGTGCCTGGAGCGGCTGGAGAAGGTGCTCAGCAGCACCAAGAACCGCGCCCTGATCCACATCGCCAAGCTGGAGGAGACGTGTATGTCCCTACCCCTGCGGAGGTGGCACTGCCACCTCTCCCTTCCCCCTGCCCGGCTCCTGCCGCATTGTCCCTGCGGCTCCAAGCCTATCCATCTTCCAGCCCTGTTGCTGTAACCGTCTCTCCTCCCTGGCTCCGTGCCACCCTCTGCCCCCTCCCCTCCGTGCTGCCCTTGGAAGAGGAGCAGAATTAATGTGGAGGCTGCGTGAGCTGTTCCTGGGCGCGTGGCGAGCCCTGTGCTCTGCCAGCCTGGCACAGCCCCGCGCCTTCGGCTGTGCCCATGTCTTGCCAGGAGGCTGTGCCAGGCTGGGCCTGAGGCAGGAGCTGCTGGGGGCACACAGACACTTGGCTTGAGCTCGCAGACCCTTGATTTGGGCACACAGACCGTCGGTTTGGGCTGGCAGCACCAGCAGGGACCCCCAGCCTCTTCAGCCCCTCTGTGCTGCTGTGGGCCTTGGAGCCAGCCTGCCCAGCTTTTCCATGTGTCCCTGTCCCCCGTCTGAATCCCTGTCCTCCCTCCCCAGCCTCCTGGAGCACTGTGGAGCAGTCCCTCATCAAGCTGGGGGAGAACCTGAACAACCTTGGCACGTCCCCGCTGCGGAGCCAGGCTGACGACTGCGTGTCCCTCATCAAGAGGTGGCTGTGTGCTGCTGCTTCGTGGGCTTGGGGGGCAAAATGGGTCTGAGCCCCACTCTGGCTCTCCCACATTCCTTGCTCTGAGGGCTGAGAGCCTCCTGCCTCTCTCCATGCTGGCTCCCTGCTTCCCTGTCCCTTTCCAGCTTGGATCCGTGCTCTGGCAGTGGGCTGGGGCTGACCAGAGGAGAGGGGACAGGGCAAGTGATGACCCAGGGCTTGCTCCTCTGGTGACCTGGGGCTCTTTACCATTCCTCAGCTGCTCTGGTCACACCAGAGCTGCCATTCCTGCTCCTTATCACCCTGGAACTGCTCCCAGGTCCCAGGGTCTTGGCTGTGCCTTGGAGATCCCAGGCACAGGTGCTCCAGGCTGTCCTGCCCCAGGGAGACACAGGGCAGCAAAGGTCAGAGGCTTGGCCAGGGAATGAGAGTGGGACAGGAGGAGCAGGAATCTGTCCCTGCAGGGCCCCAGTGACCCTGAGCTGTCCCCTCCCACCCAGCATCCCCACCATGCTCTCGGTCCACTCGGAGCAGCTGAACAAGACCGGGTTCCCCACCGTGCACGCCGTGGTGCTGCTGGAGGGGACCATGAACCTCACAGGGGAGACTCAGCCGCTGGTGGAGCAGCTCATGATGGTGAAGAGGATGCAGGTACAGAAGTGACAGCGTGTTCTCCTGCTCAGGTGGCCTGGGGCCACAGCCAGGGCTCCGTGCTGTGCCTGCCTGTGCTGATCCTGCTCCAAGGGAGCAGCGGGAGCGCATCAACACTGTCGCAGGGGTTCAGGGTTTGGCTGAGGGGGGTGGGGGATGTGCTTTGCTGCCAACCCATCACTGAGGGGGTCTGTGTGTGTGCCCTGCAGTGCATCCCCTCCCCGCTCTTCGTGCTGGAGATCTGGAAGGCCTGTTTTGTGGGCCTCATCGAGTGCCCCGAGGGCACGGAGGAGCTCAAGTGGACAGCCTTCACCTTCCTGAAGGTAGGGCCCATCCCAGCCCTGCTCTGAGCCCTGTGCCTGTCACTGCCCTTTCCCTGCACACCCGGCTCCTGCTGAGCCCTGAGCTCTGCCAGAGCAATTAGTCCTCCCCCACTGCAGAATGCCCCTTGGGGTGCCCCCACACCCCACAGTGTGCCCCTCAGAGTCCAACCCACTCCACCTGAGCCCGCCCTAGCCCTCCTGCCACCTGCTGAACATCAGCTTTGCTGTCCAGGGGCCTCCTTTCAGCTCAGCCCCACTTTGTTTGGCGGAGTTAGTTCTTCTGGGGTGTTGTAGGAGAAATGAAAGTGAGTAGATTTAGATTAGATTTTGGGAAGAAGTTCTTCCCTGTGAGGGGAGAGGCCCTGGCACGGGTTGCCCAGAGAAGCTGTGGCTGCCCCATCCCTGAAAGTGTCCAAGGCCAGGTTGGATGGGGCTTGGAGCAGCCTGGGATAGTGGAAGGTGTCCTTGCCCATGGAAAGGGGTGTAATTTAGGGTCCCTTCAACCTAAACCATTCCATGATTCTATGCTAAATGTGGCTCTGGGTGGTGGTGGAAGAACTCTGGAGGGGAACAGGGGCACCAGGTCCCCTGGGTGCACAGACTGCTCCAGAAACGCTCCTGGCCCCAGGCTGGGAGAGCAGCTCTGTGCAGCTGTGTTGGTCTGGGCTGGTGCTGCTGGGGGGCCCCGGCTGTGGAGTGGGGTCTTCTCCAGTGTCACACCATGCCCCGTGTCTTTCAGATGCCCCAAGTCCTGGTTAAACTCAAGAAGTATCCCCAAGGGGACAGGGTGAGTCTGGAGGGCCATCCATGAGGGCTGTGTGTCACCATGTGAGCTGTGTCACCGTGGGGCTGGTGCCTGGCTGGAGCTCTGTGGGGAAATGGTCCATGTCCCAAGAACCTTCCCTAAAAGAGCAGGCAGTGGGAGGGGGAGGTGGGGGTGTGTTGGGAGCATCCCAGGCTGAGTGCTGGGCTTTGTGCTCGGCAGGATTTCACCGAGGATGTGAACTGTGCCTTCGAGTTCCTGCTCAAGCTGACCCCTCTGCTTGACAAAGCCGACCAGCGCTGCAAGTGAGTGCTCGCTGTGGCCAGGGCTCACATGTGGCCCCATGCCACAGCCACCCTGTCCTCGGTGCAGGGTCCTGGCAAGGCTGGTTTAGTTTCTGATCCAGTTCCTCCTTCCTGAGGAGTTGGCGCTGCCACATGAGTGAGGCAGCGAGTATGTGACAGCTGAGTGTGGGTGATGCTGTGTGACACCCAGAGCTGCTCTGGGCCCTGCAGCATCCTCAGAGGGGTGGGAGCGGGCCCAGGAGGGCAGCTTGGGAGTCCCCTTGCCCTGTGACACTGCCTGGGGTGACAGGAATGCTGTGCTTCAGGCTAGGGCTCTGCTCTCTCTTCCAGCTGCAACTGCATAAGCCTGCTCCTGCAGGAGTGCAGCAAGCAGGGGCTGCTCTCCGAGGCCAACAAGACCAACCTGATCGACAAACGGTACAGCCCCTCCAAAGTCTGGGTAACCCCCGAAAGTGGGGCTGGAGCACCTTGTTTTGGGGAGGCATGAGGGAGCAGCTTCTGTGGCTGGGGCACGGCGGCCCGGGGGATGGGGCATTGCTTTTGGTTACAGGTTGGGTACAGGTGGTGTCTGTCCCCTCAGAGTGGCAGCTGGTGGTGGCCTGAGGCGGTGGCTTTCCCTTGAGGGTGCCAGTGGGTGGGAGGAGGAAGGCAGGGTGATGGATTCCTGCTCACTGGCCCTTCTTCGGGGTCCCTCAGGACAGCGGACAAGGAAAACTCTCCGTGCTTGAAATCTGCCGAGAATGCCAACATCCAGCCAAACCCAGGGCTCATCCTGAGGGCTGAGCCCACTGTCACCAACATCCTGAAGGTGAGTCCTCTCCTGCAGCCGTGCTGGGCAGGCTGGGCTTGGCCCCAGAGTCCCTTCCCAGCAGTACCAGTTGCACCAGGCAGCTGGGGTGGCTGGGAGGCGCCTGATCTCCCTCTGCGCTGGGGTGGTGGAGCAGAGGAATCACTCCCAGCTTTGATGCTCTGCCATGGATCCCAGGAGCTCCCCTCCTCCCTCCTGGGAGGCTGGAGGAGCTGTCAGGTGGCATGTCATCAGTGCCAGCAGCCTGAGCCCAGCCAGCTCTGCCCATCCCGCTCAGCCGCTCCCCACGTGCATCTCCCCCGGTCCCCGGGGACTCCCTGTGTCCCCGTGTCACTCTGGTTGTTTTGCTGCTGCTCAGTGACAGGGGATGTTTTTCTGCCAGTACCAGGGGCACGGAGGGCTCCATCCCACCTCCCCCAAACCCTCTGAGTCCCTGCTCCCCAAGCTGGAGTTTTACTGCTGCTCTGTAGCACATGTTCCCCGTGACTTCTCTTTCCTCTTACTTTTTTTGGTTGTAGACCATGGATGCAGATCACTCCAAGTCCCCCGAGGGCTTGCTGGGGGTCCTGGGTCACATGCTGTCTGGGAAGAGCCTGGACTTGCTGCTGGCAGCGGCAGCAGCCACGGGCAAGCTGAAATCCTTTGCTCGGAAGTTTGTCAAGTGAGTGTCCACCTGGATGGCACCATCCTTGGTGCCCACGGGGGAATGGGCAGCCCCCCAAGCTGCCCCCCACACAGGGCTGGATGTGCCTCTGGCCCAGTGGAGCACTGGGAGGGCTGGGATCATAGGGAGGCTGCACCCCACAGCACCCCATTTTGCCTCTGCATGAACAGGGCAGAGGATCAGAGCCAGGTTGTTTTGAGGTGTTCAGAGAACTGAAGGCCCTGGCAGAGCCCTGGATCCAGGGCTGTGTGTCCCTTCTGTCCCCAGACACCCGTGTCCTGGTTACAACACACGCACAGCACACGTGGGGCTGTGTGATGGACTCCCCTGAGGGCTCAGCCCACACCAGCCCCCATGGGTGCACAGGGGAGCAGTTTGGGGGTCTGTGCTCTGAAACCCCCACACAACTGGCAGGGCTGGCTCTGGGGAGGGCTGTGGGTGTGGGGACAAGCAGCGTGGCCAGACCTGTTTGGCTGCAGGGAGTGGAGACAGGGAGGAGGTGGTTTGTCCCTGTGGTGCTGGAGGGTGTCTGTGGGGCTGGGCCCAGCTTCTCCTGCCCCTCTGTGCTGGGATGGGGTGCAGGGAGGGGTCTGCAGGCAGGGCAGCCCCTGCTTGTCTCAGGGGTAGGAATTGGCCTGTTGGAGTGATAACGCTTCGCTGCCACTCTTTGCCCCTGCAGGCTGAACGAATTCACCAAGCAAATCACCGGAGAAATCTGTAAGTGCGTGTGTGCTCGTGCGTGGGGGGATCTGAGCTGGGCCCCCCCCACTGCCACGTGCTGGGATGCTCTGGGGCCTGGCTGGATTAAACTGGGACTGGCTGTGGGGCCAGAGCGAACTGAGCTGTGCCAGGCCCGGCTGGGGGTGCCGGTGGGGAGGGGGCACAGGGGCACGTGGCCATGTGCCAGCGGGGCTCTGAGTTCCTGGGGACCCGCTGCTCTCACGTGTGTGTCCATCCCGAATGTGGGTGTTCCCTGCTTGCAGGGGAAGGGCTCCCTCTCCCCAGCCGAGCCTGGGGGCCCCTTGGCTCCCTCCCTGGAAGGGGTGATGTGTCAGCACAGCCCAGATAAGGACTCTGACTCCGTGTGTGTGTGATGAAACTTGTGGAGTGCTCTGACCTTCCATGGCGAGGGGGTGGCCCAGAGGAGGCCAGAGCTGCTTTGGGGGCTCGAGCAGAGGCAGGATAGGGGGAGGCACTTGGCACATCCTCTCATTTACACACAAGCACTGGGGGGGTTACAAAAGCTGCCTGAGGGGAGCAGGTCCTGGCCCCTGCACTCGCGGGGTCCTGCCTTCATCCTTGTGCTGAGGCTGGAGACCCCCAAGGTCTTTGTTTCTCCTCCCTCAGCCAAGAGCGGCTCAGTGCGAGCCCTGCTCTTCGACATCTCCTTCCTCATGTTGTGCCACGTGGCCCAGACCTACGGCTCAGAGGTAAGGATCCTCTGAGGGGCTGGATCCTGCAAGGGGATGGATGGGGCTGGATCCTGCAAGGGGATGGATGGGGCTGGATCCTGCAAGGGGATGGATGGGGCTGGATCCTGCAAGGGGATGGATGGGGCTGGGTGGGGCTGGATCCTCTGAGGGGCTCTCACCAGAACAGCCTCCTTGCTGCTGCAGCCTGCCAGCCTCCTCTAGTGGCCAGCCTGCCCCTGTCCCTGCTGTCCCTGCTTTCCCCACTGTCCGTGCAGCCACCACACTGCCTGGGGCACAGCACCCAGTGCCTGTCACCTGGAAATCTGTCCCCGGGGCTCCATGGCCTCTAAGTGGTGGAGGAGGACTGGCTGTCACCTCCCTGAGGGCTTGGACTGTGCTCCATTTGTGGACAGTGGGATCGGTGGGAATGCTGCTTCTGCAGCTTCCCCGGGCTGGCTCTGAGCTCCCTGGGCTTTCCCCAGTGCTGCCCCTCCAGTTTGGCCCTGTTTGGCTGGGGGGGGGTCACACAGCCAGATGATGTCAGCCCTCCCCCATCCGAGGAGGAACTCTCAGCCCCGCTCGGGAAACGGCACTTTGGTTGCGTGAAAATTTTTCGAGTTTCAACATCTGTGTGTGTTGGGAGCAGAAACGATACTGAAACACTGGGAATGCGGAGAGGGGGAGAGAGGGGCCCTGCCCAGCTGGCCCTGGGGAGCGGGGAGGGGGCTCCTGGCACGGGGGACGTGCCCGGGGCTGTCCGATGAGGTCTCATCCCCTGTCCCAGTCCTGTGACTTTCCTGCTCAGCTGCTGCTGAACAGATGTGCAAAACTTTTTCTGGACAAAAATAGCATCCCCTGGGTGACACAGGCTGAGAGGAGGAAGTGACATGTGGGATTCCCAGCTTGTGGCCCCCCCAAGACCCTCCCAGCTGGGCTGTGTGACCCCGGCACTGGGGACCCTGAGCACAGCTCACGGAGGTGGGGGACACGGGACCCTTTGGGGCAGGACATGGTGACCCCAGGGTTGGTCCTGGTCTGGCATCTCTCCTCCTCTGAGCTGGACCTTGGTCTCCTGGGGAGCCCTCTCGTAATGGGAGAAACCACAGCCCACAGAGCGGAAACCAGTGCCTTACTGGGGGCTGACCAGTGCCTTACTGGGGGCTGACCAGTGCCTGTTTCTCCCTCCGGGCCACAGGGCGGCGCTGTTCCCCCGGCCATGAGCACCCCAGGGTGGGGGTCTCACCCCAGAGTGGGGGTCTCACCCCGGGTGGGGTCCCCAGCAGGGTCCCTGCGGGATGCAGACCCCGTGCCGGCTCCTTTCCAGGTGATCCTGTCGGATTCGAACCCTCCAGGCGAGGTGCCCTTCTTCGAGACCTGGATGCTGACCTGCATGCCCGAGGAGGGGAAGATCCTCAACCCCGACCACCCCTGCTTCCGCCCGGATTCCACCAAGGTGGAGTCCCTGGTCGCCCTCCTCAACAACTCCTCTGAGATGAAGCTGGTGTAAGAGCCCACCCGTGAGCCCCCACCCCAGCTTCCCTGGCCCTGTGGCCGTGCCTGAACCCCCCACCTCTTCCCTGACAGGCAGATGAAGTGGCACGAGGTGTGTCTGAGCATCTCAGCTGCCATCCTGGAGATCCTCAATGCCTGGGAGAACGGTGTCCTCACCTTTGAGTCCATCCAGGTGGGGCTGGTGGGGGGCAGAGCGGGGCCGTGCTGTGTCCTAAGGAGGGGCCAGGGGTCGAGATGCTCCAGGGTCCCCTGTTCTCCTGCAGCTGCCTTGGAGCTCACTGAGACTTGCGAGGGGGGAACTGATGTGGCTTCAGCCCTGTGATGCTGCCCTGACCCACTGGCTGGCAGTGGGACTGGCAGGGACGTCACCCATGGAGGAGGGAAGGGCTTGGACCCCGCAATTGGGACCCACAGCCCTGGGAGGTGATTCCTGAGCATCCACCCGTCTGTGCTCATCCTCTGCTCCATCTCCTCTCCTAGAAAATCACGGACAACATCAAGGGGAAGGTGTGCAGCATGGCAGTGTGTGCCGTGGCCTGGCTGGTGGCCCACGTCCGCATGCTGGGCCTGGACGAGCGGGAGAAGTCCCTGCAGATGATCCGGCAGCTCGCGACCCCCCTGTACGGGGAGAACACGCTCCAGTTCTACAACGAGCGGTGAGCTCGGGCACAGCCTGTCCCTGCCCTGCTCCTGCCTCCCACTGCCATGCCGTTCCCTGCCCTGCTTCCCCTTCCCAGTGCCGTGTCTCCTGCCCCCCTTCCCAGTTCCCTCCTGATCCCGTCTCTCCTCTGCAGCGTGGTGATCATGAGCTCCATCCTGGAGCACATGTGTGCCGACGTCCTGCAGCAAACGGCCACGCAGATCAAGTTCCCTTCCACGGGCATGGACACCATTCCCTACTGGAATCTCCTGCCCCCCAAGAAGCCCATCAAGGAGGTGCTGACCAGCGTGTTCACCAAGGTGCTGGAGAAGGGCTGGGTCGACAGCCGCTCCATCCACATCTTCGACACCCTGCTGCACATGGGGGGGGTCTACTGGTTCTGCAACAACCTGGTCAAGGTATGGGGGGGCAGGAGGGACCCCCAGTGCCACGGCGGGAACGATGGGTCTGGTCTGTGCTCCCAGTGCCCTTGGTGTCCCTGGGCTGACTGCTGGGCACTGGAGGGGAGGGGGCAGGCCCAACCCTGCCCGTGCCCCCCTCCCTGGACATGCAGCAGCTGACGCTGACGCTGCTGGGCCACATCCTGCCCAACCTGCTGACGGACTCCTCCAAGTGGCACACCCTCATGGACCCCCCCGGGAAGGCCCTGGCCAAGTAAGACCCCAGACTCACAGGAGACTGTCCTTGGGGGAGCCTGGCTGGGGAGGTGGGGAGATGCTGGGATGGAGGTCCCAGACACTCAAATCCCTCCCTGTGCCTGGCACAGTGCTGGCAGTTCCCACTCTGAGTCCATTCCCTGCTGTTCCCCTCTGAGGAGGGACCTGCTGTGTCCCATCCCTGGGCTCACACCTCATCCTCAGGTGGGCTGGCAGCACCTGGCTGTGTCTCTGCTCTGTCCCCAGGCTCTCTGTGTGGTGTGCCCTGAGCTCCTACTCCTCCCACAACAAGGGCCAGGCCTCGGCCCGGCAGAAGAAGCGGCACCGGGAGGACATCGAGGTGTGTCTGGTGTGGAGCAGGGGTTGGCAGGGGGCTCTTTTTGCCCAAAAGCAGCAGTGTCCTGGGAGGGGAGGGTGGCAGGAGTTGGTGGGTTAGACCAGACTCCCTGCCCAGCTTCTCTGGGCTCTCTGAGGTCTTTTGACCTTAAAATCCAGGGGTTTCCTTCTCTTTCCTGGAGAAGGGTCTGTAATGAGCTGGTCTGGATGTGTCCTGCCCAGGTTGGGATGCTGTGAGTGAACAGAGATCATGGTCCTGGGCCCAGGGTGGGCCAGGACACCCCCCTCAGTGAGGGGCTGGTGGGGCTGAACCCCCTCTTTCTTTCCCCCAGGATTACATCAGCCTGTTCCCGCTGGACGACACGCAGCCCTCCAAGCTCATGCGCCTGCTGAGCTCCAACGAGGAGGATTCCAACATCCTCTCCAGCCCCAGTAAGTGTGGGGAATGGGGTGGGGGTGACTCCTGGGAGGGCACCATCCTGCCTTGCTGTTCTTTTTGGGTGTGAAATGTGTATTTGAGCAAAACCTCTTCCCTTCCCAAACTGGCCGGGTGAGGATTTAGAGCCCTCAAGTGTTATTTCAGTTATCCTGGAAAAGGGAAAGGCAAAACTCTTTATTTCTCTGATCTGAACAACTTCAAGGGGTGAGGTTACACCTTCTCTCCATGCTGGTGCCCCCCAGCCCAGCACCCCACACCCGAGGGGCTCAGGGGGCCTTTGAGAGCCATGTCCCCCCAGCCACCCTGTGTGGGACCAGAGCTGGAGGTGACATTCCTGATGTCTGAGGCCAAATCCTGACATTCCAGTGCTGTGAGCAGAGCCTTGGAACACATCCGTGTCCCTGTGGTGTCACAGGTTGCGACAGCTCTGGTGGTCCATGTCCTGCCTGGCGGGTGCTGTCATGGCTCCCATGTGCGTTGTCCACACTCCTGGGCAGTGAGTCAGGACCTTTCCTGGTCATTGTTTCTCCCCTTATCCCGAATGTGCTCTTCAGTTATTAGTTTTCGACACATCCATTGACCTCTGGTTTCTTTACTGTCGAAATATGGGCTTTTCCCTTTATCTCACTTATCTTTTTTTAACTCCTGAGGCAGTCCCACCTCTTCCCAGCGACATTCAGGACTTTTTTGGGCTGTTTTCTGCAGTGATGTGGAAACACTGCTTCCTGCAGCGGCCACATAACTCATGTGATTCCATGAGAAAAGTGTGGGAGGGCTTTCTTTTTTTGGTGAGCATCCTCAAGAGCAGCACAAGGTGGGTCCTGCTGGTTTAGGCAGGAGCTGTGGACCATGGGGTCTGCACAAGAGCCTTCCCAGGGCACTTTCATCCTGTTGGAGCGGAGCTGGCCCAGTTCCTCCTACAGAAGCGCCCAACTGGGGGCAGCTCAAGCCCCCTGGTCTATCCCGGGATTTGCTGCTAGATTTGGACGTGCCTCAGCTCTGGTAGCTGGACTGCACCCTGACAGTGAGATTGCAGAGCTGCTGTGCAGCTGTTGAACATCTGACTCTCACACAGGATGTGCAACGTGTGTGTTGCTGCTCTTCCTCTCTCCTGATCCTGACATCCCCTGGGAGCAGCCTGGGGATCCCCCCCGGGCTCTTGGCTCTGTGGGAGCTGGCAGGGGGGACGTGGCACAGACTGTGCTGTGTTTCTGGGGTGCCTCAGACTCAGTTAGGGTATGGGGGGCCCAAACATCTTCCACTCCACGGAGTCACTTGTGGCAAAGCCCCTCCTGGAGCTGGGTCACCTTAAGTGGCTAGAGCTGGCCAGGGTGGGCACACTGGCACAGCCAAGAGGCTGTTCCTGACGCCTGTTCTGCTGCCCACAGATCGCTCCATGAGCAGCTCACTCTCTGCTTCCCAGCTCCACACTGTCAGCATGAGGGACCCGCTCAACCGCGTGCTGGGTAAGGTGGGGGTGGGTCTGTGGGGTCACATCCAGCCAGGCTGGGGCACCAGTGGGAGGTGTGGGCCACCCCCAGCCCCCCAGAACTGACCTGATTGTTGATCTGTCCCTGTCCCCACAGCAAACCTCTTCCTGCTCATCTCTTCCATCCTGGGGGCCAAGACAGCTGGCACCCACACCCAGTTTGTCCAGTGGTTCATGGAGGAGTGTGTGGAGTGCCTGGAGCAGGGCAGCCGTGGGAGCATCCTCCAGTTCATGCCCTTCACCATGGTGAGCCCTGTGGCTGTGACATTTCTGTCCCTGCTTGGGGGTGTGCTGGGGTCCCACGGGACAGGGGCACATCTGGGGGTCCTGCAGCCTGCCTTGCCTGTCTCCATCTCTGGGGACACTCACTGTGCTTCTCCTGTGCCCCTGGGCAGGTTTCGGAGCTGGTGAAGGTGTCCACCATGTCCAGCCCCAAAATCGTGCTGGCCATCACCGACCTCAGCCTGCCCCTGGGCCGCCGCGTCGCTGCCAAGGCCATTGCTGCGCTGTGAGGGGACAGTGCCTGCCCAGGGCACATCCCTGAGCATCCTGGGCACCTCCCTGCCAACCTGGATGCCTGGGATGGCTTCTGTCACTGCAGCTTGGCCTCGCCCCGCCCATGGGCTGCTCCCTCAGTGCCCAGAGCCATCCCTGTGCTGCCTCGTGAGGGCTTCGAGAATGAGACGCCCCCATGATTTTTTCTATTCTATAAATAATTCAGTCCTTTTGTAGAACCAGGTTTTGCCTCATCTCTGTCTGGGGTCCTGGGGCTCCCCAAAATCCCTTGTTTCGGGGGGTGATGGGGGAGTCAGTGGCCAAGCCCTGTGCTGGGAAGGGGGTTGAATTCCATTCTCCCTGTCCCAGACCCCTGGAGTGTTCCATGCTGCACTGGGTGGAGCAGGGATGCTTCCTTGCTGTGCTGTCGGCCACAAGCAGGCTCTTGTTGGGAATTCCTCCATGTGAGTGTGAGTTCTTGCTGGAATTCCTCCCCGTGAGTTTGAGTTCTTGCTGGAATTCCTCCCTGTGAGTGTGAGTTCAGGCCGAGGCGAGCGCAAGCACTGGTGGCCAGTGAGTAACCGTGGCCTCACCGGCACTGCACCGGCCCCGTGCTGGGACAGGCTCCCCCAGGACTGTCCCCACACCCCGTCAGCTGCTCCGGCGGTGAATCCTCTTGGAGTGTCACCAACCCCCAACCCTGAGGGGGTGGCAGGGCCGGGGTGGCTGTGCCTCTGCCCCTTCACTCATTGAGGGGGAAGTGGAGCCAGCGGGCACCAGCCCTTCCCTCTGGGCACCGCAGCTCTGGGACCGGGCTGTGCCTCTGCCCCCTCGGCACTGGTGGAGTTCCCAGCTCACTCCTGGCTGCTCCCGGGTTTTCTGGAGGGAGAGATCCCAATGCACTGGGGGTAGCTGTGGGTGCTGGCTGGTCCTTGGCCTTCAGGGAGGGAGCTGCTTTCCCACTGCTCCCATGGGTTCATCCCTGGTCCAGGGCAGGTGCAGAGCGGCCGTGGGGGTGGGTGGGGCAGCTAACAGAGCTGTGGCACGCACTAGGATGGGCTGGGATGGCCTCACCAGGCCTGACACCCGTGTGAGTGCCACGCTGAGCTGGCACCGACCTGCCTGGGCACCGCTGCTCGCCCAGGGGCGGCTCTTTACCGTTAGCCCGGAGCAAAGAGCAGGACCCGGCGCTCGTGGCCTTCCCGGCTCTGTCAATATTTGCCTCGACAGCACCGTGCCTGGCGTTGGCACTGGCGCTTCCCCTTCCAGGAAGGGCCTGGAGCGGGGAAAGGGGGTTTTTCCGTAAGCACCCACGAGGTGGGAGAGGAAGGAGGGAGCTGCTGCCCATGGGGGGGTGTGTGGCCAAATGCCTGGGAGCGAGGGCTTCTCCCTGACAATGAGAGCCTGGTCATCGGGCTCTGGCCTTGTACCAGCCCCTTCCCAGGGCTGGGAAGTCTGGGGGAGGCAGGAACTCCTCCCACTGGCCCCCACTGGCCCTGGGCTCTGTCCCTGTGGGGCTGGGATGAGTGTGGCGAGGGATGCTGGTGGTCACAGGACCTGAGCGTGGGCCCGGTGGGAGGAAAGGGATCTGGTGGAGCTGAGGAACTCAGGGACAGCCCGGGCTGGGCGAGGCTGGGGGTGGCTGCAGGGGCTTTCTGGGGCAGGGAGATGCCCAGGGGTCTCCTGACATTGCCACATCCGTTTGTCCATCCACCCTGCCACAGGCACCCTGCCGTCCTCACTGCTGGAAGCCTCGTCCCACTGTGGTCGCTCTGGGAGGGCTCTGGGCACATCCTGAGGCAGCTCTGGAGCAGATTCCCCCTGTGGCAGCAGCAGCGGAGGGGTGGGTGGGTCCTCCCAGCGCGGGTGGCTTCCGGAGCTTTCTAGGAATCAGCTCTTGCCCAAGTGATGCTGCCGGGGGTGGGAGGAAGCAGATGCCCCACGGGTGCCTCCCGGCCCTCAGGGGGCTCAGGCCATGGTGTGGGGGCACCAGGGGGGGTTGGTTTCCAGTGGCACTGTGCACCACTGAGCCGACACTGGGAGCCACAGCCCAGCCCCAAGTGCCCCATTCTCTGGTCCCCTGTTCTCTGTCCCCGTGTCCCCATGCCCGGTCACTCCACTTCCCCCCCAAGCAGGCAGGAGACAGCAGGACAGAGCAAAAATAGAGTTTATTTCCATTTTTATCACAAATAATAAAAAAAAAAAAGTAGCGTGTGTTCCTCGGGGCTGACCCAACTGCAGCAATAAATAGAGTACAAAACCCGCCGCCCCCGCACCCGCAGCTCCCACACGGCCACGGGACCGGGGCTGCGTCAGGCTCAGGGGATGGGACCACGTCCAAGCAGCTCCTCCCGGCCAGGGATGGGCACAAATAAGTTAAACTGCAATAAATACCCCGAATTTAGCAGGGAAGGGGGACAGACCAGAGACAGCCCCCCCACAAGCGCTGGTGCTCCCCAGAAAAGCCTCGTTGTGGCTGGGTTGCATCCCCCCGACATTTCCATCCTCCCCTCCTTCCCTAATGGCTAATAAATATTAATTACTGGAAATAACACCCATCAGATGTGGCCCTGTAGGCTGCAGCCCAGGCAGGGAGATGCTGCTCTGGAGCATCCTCATCCTCGGATGAAGGAGGTTTCCCGTGGGATGCTGCAGGTGGGACCCTGCAGCACAAACCGTGGGGAAACTGAGGCACAGGCGGTGCCGCGGCAGCCGCGGGGGCTCGGCCCAGCTCCCGAACCTCGTAGCAGAGATACGCTTGTGTTTAAATATTAAACAAGGGTGATGCTGCACAGATACCCGTGCATGGATCCACCACGGGGACCCCCCGGAGCGGGAGCATCCCCGGCCAGATAAATATTAAATAGCCATAAATATTAAATAAGCAGAAAACGGGGCGCTCCTGGGATGTCCCTCGGGTGGGACATCCACGAACAGGGGTCAGAGGCGGGCGAGGTGCCGCAGAGCCCGGTACGCCGTCTCCAGGAACCGCTGGAAGTTGGCCAGGATGAAGAAACCACCGACTTGGTGGTGGAAGTGGGAGGAGAAGGTGGGCAGGGGGTCCGGGTTCTCCGTGGGGTATGTCACTGTGGCCAGGCCCAGGTCCTCCATCTGCAGACGGGCAGAGGCAGCGGAATCAGCTCCGGGCTCAGAGACACCCTGGGAGCGCGGAGGCATCCCGGGGATGCGGAGTGTCCCTGCTGGGCCCTCCCTGTGCCCCAGGAATGCAGCCCTCCTGCCCCCACATGCCCTTCCTGGGGATACAGTGCCCACCATGCCCACCCATCCCTGGGGATTCAGCCCCTGCCGTGCCCACCCAATCCCCCCAAACCCCTATCCCCCTCACCTGCTGCTGGATGTTGGAGGACAGGTTGGCCGTGTCCAGCTGCAGGGTCTCCACCAGCCCGGCATGGCCGGGCAGCAGGTCCCTCACAGCGGCCAGGGAGCCGTGGTAGACGCGGAGCCCGGCGCGGATCTGGTTGAAACAGGTCTCCTGTGGTGGGCACAGCACGGTCAGCGGGACCATGGGGGGTTCTGGGGTGCCCTGAGCTGTGGCAGAGCCAGCGGGGCTGAGACCTGCCAGGTCCTGGCAGGGGTGGGCTGCACTCACCACCTGGAAGGAGCGGCTGTGGCACTGCTCCAGTGGCACCTGCGCGATGTCCAGGTCCTGCCGCACCAGCAGCAGCTCTTCCTCCTTGCACAGCTGGAAGGTGTCACACTGCGGGCAAGGGGGACGGTGTCAGGATGGCCAGAGGACCCCGACACCCCCTGACATCCCATTCCTGGGGTGTGGGACCCCCCTCACAGCCCAGCCAGAAGGAGGGAGGGGATGGAGTGGACCTGCCACCAGTGTTGGCTGCCCTGGCTGGTGTGTGCCCAGGGGAGTCCCTAAGTGCCCCCGGTGGACCCCAGGACCCCAGGGCTCAGCCCTGAGGACCCCACAGGCTCCCAGCCCTGCAGAGCCTTGTCTGTGACCCCGGAGGTTCCACCGTCCCCCCTCTGTGGGACTCACCACCATGCGCTGCAGCGCGGCCACATCCCCGCGGACCTTGCGGGTGAACTCGAGGTTCCTCTGCAGGAAGAGCTGGAAGTCCTGGTCCCCGGAGAGCTCGGGCAGCGGTGCCCCGTGCAGTGCCCACCACGGTGCCCACAGCAGCACGCCCAGCAGCGCCAGCCCACCTGCAGGGACAACAGCTCAGAGCCCACCCGACACCCCGGGGACCCCGACCCCGTGCCCAGGGTGGGGTCAGCAACCAGAACCCCCCCAAAAGAGATGGGGGCACCAGCGCGGGCTGGGAAAGGGGCAGAGACTCCTGAATGGGAAGAGGGACGGGCACTCCCTGCATCCCACAGGCCATGGGGCAGTGCTGGGGGGCTCTGGGTGTGTGGGTGCAGCAGGTGCTACAGAAAGGATGGATTTATGGGTGCTCTGGGGGAATTGGGCACTGTAGGTGCAGTGGGGGCTGTGAGTGAAGTGGGTACAATGGGAGCAACAGGAGCAGTGAGAGATGTGGGGGCTGTGGGAGCAATGGGGGCTGTGGGTTCAATGGGAGCAGTGGGAGCAGTGGGAGCAGCAGGAGGTGTGGGAGCAGTGGGAGCAGTGGGGGCTGCAGCGGGTGCCAGGTACTCACGGGTGAGGGAGCACATGGTGGGTGCCCGGCTCGGTGTCTTCTCCTCAGTTCAGAGCAGCCCAGCCCAGCCCAGCCCGGCCTCCCTCTGTCCTGCCCGGCTCTGCTCATCGATCAGGGCATTTATAGTGCGGGCCCCGGGGATTCTCACCGACGTTGCAACCGCCCCGATTGCTTCATTGCCTTAATCACAGCTTTCAGATCTCGGGAACCGGGCGCTCGGCCGGGCCCACACCACGGGGCTTTCCCGGGGCGAGTGGGCAGCGCTGCCCCTCGGTGTGGCTGCGGGTGCCCGGCTCAGCCCTGGCACCAAGGTGGGTGCCAGGACGGGGCTGGTGGGGCATTGGTGACTCATTAACCTGCTCCCAGGGCTCTCACTGTGCTGGTCAGAACCCAGTGCAGTGAGGTCACTCAGAGGGTCACTCAGAGGGTCACTCAGAGGGTCACTCGCAGGGTCACTCGCAGGGTTGCTTCAGGGTCATTCACAGGTGACCAGGCAAGGGGACGGTGGCTTCCCGCTGCTGGTGTCACTCCGGGATCATGTCCATCCCTGTTCCATGTGGGGATCACCCCCCCAGCTGCCCCAGCCCCTCACCCCAGCGCCAGGGCGGGTG